AAAAGGCTTCCAAGACGGTCCAAGACACCGTCAAGACGGCTCCAAGAAATGCTCCGAAGGGGGATCTGACCCGACGTTTCGGCCCCTCGGCCCCACGAGGCCCCCAAAAGGCCTCCAAGAGGCCCCAAGAGGCCCCTTGGAGGAGGTGGACGAGGAAGACGAGGACCAAACGGACAGGGAAGAGGAGAAGAAGGACGACGAGCGTCAGCAAGGACATGAGGGGCAAAAAGAGGAAGAGGAAAAGGAGGAGGAGGAGGAGAAGGTGGAGGAGCAACGACAGGAACAGCTAACGACAGGAGGGTCTGGCAAAGTACGAGAAAGCACCGGCCAACCGCGCCAGTTCGCATACACACTTCTTCGAGGCATCCCGTGCATTCCTGGGAGGCCTCTTGAGCCGTGTCGGGGCCTTCTTGGGCAATCCAGGCCAGTCTGAGAACCGTCGTGCGAACCTTTTCCGGCCTCTCGGGCAAGCTTGGCCTCTGCGGAGCTCGTGGGAGCCTCTTGGGGCCCTCTGGGGCTCCCGAGGCGCATGTTAGAGTCCTGGAGGCCGCTCCCAGAAGTTCCGGCATCTCTGAGGCCACCCGCCCGATGTGCTTTGCGCACGCGGACTCCAAAAGGCTGCGTGCGCACGCGCGCACACCCTCGCGCACGCCGTCAGCCCGTCCCTCCGCGCCTCGTGCTCAGGCCTCCTGCTCAGCCTCGCACGCTCCTCGCCCGCGTCTCCGCACCCACCCTCCCTCGCGACACTCCCCCCACCCCCGCTCCCCCCTCCAGCCGTCCCCACCTGAGCCACCCACCTGGACCTTCCTCCTCCCAGTCATTGTCTCTCCTCCTCGTGACCCCTACTCCTCGTCCTCCTCATCCTCGTCGCCCTCCTCTTTCTCCTCCCCTTCATCCTCCACATGGTGCAACCCCCACCAGAAATTGTTGGTTCGCTTCGCTTCGCTACAACATCTTGCCCCTCATCCTCATCCTCGGCGCAGGAGCGCAGATCTGGCCTCCCGTCGCGCTATGTGGACGACAGGCTGCGGTGCCCTTGTGAACTTCATGGATATAGGGGTGTAGGTATGACGTGTGTCGCGAGCTTGACGGCTTCGGGGAAATCGGGATGCCGTTATTGCAGGGCTCGTGCCGGTGTTCGTGTTGGACATCGTGCCGGCGGGCGTGCTGGTGGCCGTGCTGCTCGTCATGGTGGCGGTCGTGCTGGGGATGGTGCTTATGGGCGGTCGTGCTGGCTGTCGCGCTGGCAGTTGTGCTTGTGGCCGTGCTGGCGGTCGTGGGGCCAACGTGGGCGTTTTAACGGGGGGTGAGCATGTCCGGAAGCGAAGAGCCACCAAACGGGCCGAACCAATTTTTGGTTCACGTCGACAGGTGCTTTTTCTTCCAGGCCCAGAATTGGGGGCGTCTGGCGCCCTCCGGGCAAGCTGGCCTAGGGGCCGTCGTGGGCGCGGGCTTTCGTAAGGAATGAGCATGTCCAGGGGCACAGGGCCACCCGACGGGGGAATCCAATTTTGGTTCTAGTGATTCTCTTTGGGGGCACGTAGTAACCAGCCAAGCCCATCCAAAAATATGCTCGGGAGTGGGAGTGAGCAGCAGCAGCCAGGCAGCATTACCCCACCTGCCTTCCTCCCTCCCTGAGCCTCCATGCTTGCAGGTAGCGCCAGGCGACCGTCTCTAATACAGGGAGGTTTGGTGTCAGCAGAGGCGGTGACGAAGGCTACCACTCCGACGATTCCTCAATACGACCACCCTTCCCTCCCGTCCCCTACTTCCGTCATGACTCTCGCTCGTTCGAGCCCTCCTCCCCGCCCTCCTCGTCGCACCTCTTCTTCGAAGAATAAGGGTGGTCGATCCAGTGGCAAGTATAGTTTGGTCCCATGAAAGCGCTAATACATTTGAGCTGGCCCCACTTCAGGCATCCTGCCCGCCTGGGCGCCAGCAGGGCCAGTGCATTCATTCTGTTCTGGCAAATGGCACGTAGGAGGCGTAGTCTCCCTCTCAGAGTCCCATAGCAATGGTAGCCGCATTGCTGAAATCGGATCGGACTTCCCAAGCTTCCCATCATCAACACCATCATCATCATCATCATCATCATCATCATCATCACCACCACCATCATAAGCATCATCAGCATCACCATCAGCATCATCATCAACAGCATCACCACCAGCAGCAGCAACGCCTTCATCATCCTCATCAGTATCATCGCCACCACCACCATCACCATCGCCATAACCATCATCATCATCACCACCATCATCAGCATCGTGATCATCATCATCATCATCACCACCATCATCATCATCATCATCATCATCATCATCATCATCATCATCATCATCATCATCATCATCATCATCACCATACTCGCCATAAACGTCACCGTACTCGCTAGCCTCAGCACATTGACCATACTCAGACAAAGCCTCATCGTCGTCGTCATCATCAGCAGCAGCAGCAACAACGTCATCATCATCATCAGCAGCAGCATCATCATCAGCATCATGATCATCATCATCAGCAGCATCATCATCAGCAACATGAGCATAAACATCATCATCATCATCATCATCATCAGCAGCAGCAGCATCGTCATCGTCGTCGCCGTCGTCACCATCCTATTAGTCGTCAGCGCCAGTATCATCAGCAGCATCAGCATCGGCATCATCAGCAGCAGCAGCGTCATAACCATCCTCATCATCCTCCTCCTCATCATCAGCATCAGCATCATGAACATCATCATCATCATCATCAGTATCGGCATCATCATTATCATCACGATAATCAGCATCATCACCAGCATCAGCATCATCATCATCATCAGCATCATCATCATCATCATCATCGTAATCATCATCATCATCTTCATCATCATCATCAGCAGCAGCATCACCAGTATCGCCATCATCATCATATTCACCGTCGCCACCATAATCATCCTCATAATCATCAACATCACCATCATCAGCATCACCAAAACCACCATCATAAGCATCATCATCATCATCATCATCATCATCATCATCATCATCATCACCATCAGCATCATCATCAACATCATCATCACCAACAGCAGCAACGTCTTCATCACCCTCATCAGCATCATCGCCACCACCACCATCACCATCGCCATAACCATCGTCATCATCAGCATCGTCATCATCATCATCATCATCATCATCATCATCATCATCATCATCATCACCACACTTGCCATACGCGTTGCCATACTCGCCAGCCTCACCACATTGCCAATACTGAGACAAAGCCGCATCGTCGTCATCATCAGCAGCAGCAACAACGTCATCATCATCATCATCAGCACCAGCAGCATCATCAGCAGCATCATGATCATCATCATCATCATCATCATCATCATCATCATCATCATACTCAGCAGCAGCGTCATCATCAGAAACATGGGCATAAACATCATCATCAGCAGCAGCATCGTCGTCGTCGCGGTCGTCACCATCATATTATTCGTCAGCGTCAGTATCATCAGCAGCATCAGCATCATCATCACGAGCAGCAGCGTCATAACCATCCTTATAATCCTCCTCATCTTCTGCATCATCAGCATCATGAACATCATCATCATCATCATCATCATCATCATCATCATCATCGTCATCATCGTCATCATCATCATCATCATGATCGTCATCATCATCACGATAATCATCATCATCACCAGCATCAGCATCATCATCAGCATCACCAGCATCGTCAGCATCATCAGATTCACCGTCGCCACCATAATCATCATAATAATCATCAGCATCACCAGCATCATCATTATCATCATCATAATCATGATCATCAGAATCAGCATCATCAGCAGCAGCAGCATCATCATCAGTAGTATCATCATCAGCATCATCATAAACATCATCATCATCGTCATCGTCATCGTCGTCGTCATCATCAGCATCAGCATCATCACTACCAACATCCTCATCGGCGTCATCATCATCAGCATCATCATCGTCTTCATCAGCAGCAGCATCATCATCATCGGCATGACCATCACCATCATCATCATCGGCGTCGTCGTCGACGGCGTCATCATCAAACTCCTCCTCATCCTCTTCCTATTCCTCTTCCTCCCCCTCCTCCTCCTCATAATCATCATCCTCATCCTCACACACATGATCCTGCTCCCCATCTCTCCTCCTCCTCCTCCTCCTCCTACTCCTCCACCTCCTCCTCGTCCTGCTACCACTATGTGTCATCAGCAGCAGCATTACCATCGTCACCAGTATCGCCACCATTATCGGCAATCGTCAGCATCATCCTGGTCATCATGATCAGCATCGCGTCCCCTCCTCTGGTGGGAAAGAGAGGATGGGAAGGGTTGGCAGGTAGTGAGATGGAGGAACGAGGGAGGCGGGATGGAGAAGAAAGGAAGCAGAAGCAGGAAACAGAGGGGGAGGAAGGGCGACGAGAGGGAAGGGGAAGGAGGCGGGCGGGATGGGGTAGAGGAAGGCGGAAGCAGGACGGAGGAGGGAAGAAGGGAGGGGCAGGGGAGGGATGAGGGAATGAGAGATGGAGAGAGTCAGGGAGCCCACAAAGGACGTACGCGCCCAACCGTGTACATGAATACAGCCCCCCAATCCGCGAGACTGGCCGTGTAATGCGAATGCTCGCGCAATGCGTACTCTTGAAACCAACGTGGATTCATGTACTTGTACGTCCTTCTTTCGCTCCTGAAGAGTGTGAGAAATAGAGAGAGAAAGAGAGAGAGAGAGGGATTGAACTGCGGGGCACAGCACAGGACTCAAGGCAGACAGCAAAGGCACGAATGGGCTTCTCCGATGAGAGCACCACAATAGTCACGCAGACAAACAACTGAGCCCAGCGGCGCGGTCTAATGACGGGGAAGCGAAGGGAGAGGACAGCAGCAGCGGCAAGAGGACGAGCAACACAACGCATTGAAGAACGGCGCCACCCCGCATGCCAAGAGCGCGCGCATGTCTCGGAGGGATAAAAGCTGGGGCCTCTGGCGACCAAGGGCTCGCGCACGGCGTCTCCGCACACGCAGCTGGGGCCTCCCCTGGAGGCCCCATGCCCCAACGCATCTGCCCGACCTCCGCGGCCAGAAGCGAGAGAGCAACCGCCGAAACGCACAGGTTCGTGTCAGCAGGCGTCGAGGGCGCAGGACCTGACAAAGTGTCCCCCCGCTCCTTCCCGAGTACAATCAACGCGCATAGTAAGGACGCGCGCCTTCATCTAGGGTACCCTTGTGTCCTTGCCTCTGAGGCCCGTCCTTGCCATTATCACTGGTCGCCGCCGCCCTAAAAAACGCAACTTCGGCCTCCAAGGGTCTTGCGTCCTTATCACCCGTCCTTAATACACGTTTTGACTGTACCCCTCCGGTCTCGCTACTTCCCGCCCGCTCCGATCGCGCCCACCCGAACCAGACGCGCTCCCTCCCGCACCGGCTCCGACGCACCCTCCCCTCGCGAGATCGCTGCTCCTCCCTGCGCGCTGCTGGCCCGCTCCCGCTTGCCGGGCTTCCTCGTCGCCTCTCTCTCTCTCTCTCTCTCTCTCTCTCTCCCGCCGCCGCCTCCCGCCTGCTCCCGTATGCTCCTCCTCCTCCTCCTCCTCCTCCTCCTCCTCCTCCTCCTCCGCCTCCTCCGCCTCCTCCATTTCCTCCGCCTCCTCCATCTCCTCCGCCTCCTCCTCCTCCTCCTCCTCCTCCTCCTCCTCCTCCTCCTCCTCCTCCTCCTCCTCCTCCTCGATCCTCGAGCTTCTCGGATCGAGGGTCGAGGCTGTTGGACTTGACTCGCCCGTTGATGCCCCCTGCGCGGAAATGGCGGGAGGAATAGGAGGAGAAGAAGGAGAAGGACAAGGAGGAGAGCGGGAGGCCGCAAGCAGCATCATCATCACCACCATCAGCATCAACATAATCATCCTCATCATCATCATCATCATCATCATCATCAGCAGCAGCAGCAGCAGCAGCATCAGCATCATCATCCTGATCATCATCAGCAGCACAATCAGTACCATCATCAGCATCATCCTCATCATCATCAGCAAAATCAGCATCGTCAGCACCATCATCTGCATCATCATCATCAGCAGCAGCATCATCATCAAATTCATCATCATCATCATCATCATCATCATCATCATCATCATCATCATCATCATCATCATCAGCCTCGATTCTCGACCCCCGACACTCGGAGCCGCCGCACTCCCCGCCACGAGGCCGCAGCTCGTACACACGCACGGCATGCTCGTGCGGCGCCAGCGCGCGCGCAGGCTGTTGACAGCGCGCCGATCGTTCCGCCTCGAACCGATCGCGGCCCCGATCGTTCAGGGCTGACTTCCGTCGGGTCCTGTGGCGTTACCGTGTCCCTCAGTTGCACGGTTTCCCCAGGGCCGTTGGCGACCCGAGGAGGAGGAGGAGGAGGAGGTGGAGGAGGGGAAGGGGGAGGAGGAGATGGAGCAGGAGGAGGAGGAGGAGGAGATGGAGGAGGAGGAGGAGGAGGAGGAGGAGAAGGAGGAGGGAGGAGGAGGAGGGAGGAGGAGGACGGTTCGCCTAAGCCCTTCGAAGAAACCCTCCACCCTCAGTGTTTCCGCGTCGTTCTACCATGTGGAATTGAACCTTGAACGCCTTCGCCAGCGTCACGTCGGCGCGCCAGAGCCGCATGAACCTGCCGCAATGACCCACCGCAGGGGGGGGGGGGGGGGCACCTCCCAGAACCACAGGGGGGCGGTGGACGTGGGGCCGAACCTCTGACGATGTGATAACTTCAGTCCCGGCGCTTGTCCTGAATCCAGACCTCTCCTCCTCCTCCTCCTCCTCCTCCTCCTCCTCCTCCTCCTCTTCCTCCTCCCTCCTCCTCCTCCTCCTCCTCCTCCTCCCCCTCCTCCTCCTCCTCCTCCCCCTCATACCCTCATCCTCCCCCCCCTCATCCTCCTCCTCCTCCTCCTCCTCCTCCTCCTCCTCCTCCTCCTCCTCCTCCTCCTCCTCCTCCTCCTCCTCCTCCTCCTCCTCCTCCTCCTGCTCCTCCTCTGGGGCACGTCCCCAGGCCCTAGGACCAAGAAGAACGGATCCAGGACGAAACACTGCCCACGAGGAAAGGCTCGGAAGCTCTGAGGCTGCGGATGGACAGCAGCACATCGGAAGACGTCATCGGACGTGCATCGGCCAGCAGTACGTCGGCGACGTCAGCGATGCCTCGGCGACGTCGGGGTGGAGAACATCAGGCTCCATATCGAGCTGCATCGTCGATGCATCGACGGCACGGCGCGATCGGTTGACCCCATCTGCTCGAACCCTATCTGGGCAGAGGCCGGCGGATATGGGGATACATTTGGGACCCATGGGGGGGGACCGAGTATATCTAGAAGAATAATGTGCGCCAGCGTTGACCCCAAACAGTGAGATGCAGCACTGTGGAGGTGTAAGTAACGCAGTGTGATATATTATGTGCAACGTATGTGATGTGAGCTGTGAGGTGTAAAGTATATGGCGCAGTCTATCAGGAGCGAGATACGTGGTATGAACTACGCGCTGCATGCGATGTGATGCCATATATGTGGTATGAGCTGTGTGCTCTAAGCTAAGTGGTGCAATACACGTGGTGCAATATATGTAGTACAAGCTGTGTGGTGTAAGATAAGGGTTCAATCGAACTGGTGCACTATATATATATATATATATATATATACATGTATTGAAGGCGCGCCGCTGGATACCCGAAAGGGGGGGGCGGGACCCCCCTCAACCCCTCTCCCCGGTCCGTCGTCCTGGGACCCCCCCTCCCGCCCTCCCCTTTCCCCATCCGTCGTCCCGGACCCCTCCACCCCCCTTTAAAAAGAGGGGGGGGGATTGAACCCCTTGCCTCCAAACCCCCCCCCGTCCCCTTTTGGCTCGAAAATAGGACCCCACCCCCTCCCCCTCTTTGGTCACGCCGCCTTCCTAGCACCAGAATCCTACACCGTAACCCTACCGCCCTAACCCTAACCCTAACACTCTAACCCTAACACCCTAAGCCTAATACCCAAACCCTGACACCTTAACTCTAACACCCCAACAACCTAACCCTAACACCCTAACCCTAACACCCTAGCCGGAACCCAACCGCCCTGAGCCATAAGCCCTAACCCTAACACTCTAAGCCGAACCCTACCGACCAAACCCAAACACCCGAACCGTAACACCCTACCCCTACCTATCCCTAACATCCTACTCCGAATCCTACCGCCCTAACTAAACCGAACCTTACCACCCTAAGCGTAACACCCTGGCCCGACCACCAATACCCTGACACCCTCGTCAGTATCCTAACACCCTAATCCTAACACCCTGGCCCGAACACCCTAACCCAGCCTCCGTTAACCTAACACCCTAACCATAACACCCTAAGCCAAACACCCCAAGCCTAAAACCCCAACCCTAACCCCCTAACACCCTAACACCCGGAATCTAACCCCTAAGCTCTAACCCCTAGCACTAAAATCGAAGCCCTAAGCCCTAGGCCCTAAGCCCTGGGCCCTAAGCTGTAAGCCATGAGCCATAAGCCCTAAGCCCTAACACCCTTTGTATCCCAGGCTTTAAGATGTGAGCCCCAGGCTCCAAGCTCTGCGGCTGAAGCCCGAAGCCCTCAGCTCTAAGCCTCAAGGTGTAAGCCCTGGTCTCGGCTGGGTGTACGTCCCCGACTCCGCCGTGCTTCCCAGTTCACAGGAGCCCACGAAAGTGACGACGGTTGCGCGGGTCGCAGCCCCGTAGGGAGCTGCGGATCTCGGCTGGGTGCGCGCATTCCCTCACTAAAGTGGCGGCAATTGCGCAGTTCGCAGCCCCCCGGGGAGCTGCGAGGTCTCGGCTGGTTGCGTGTACTCCCCTACTCCGCCGTGCCTCCCACGAGCCCACGAAGGTGGCAACAATGGCGCAGTTGGCAGCCACGCCAGGAGCTGCAAGGTCTCGGCTTGGCGTGCGAACACCGCAACTCCGCTGGACCTCCCAGGAGCCCACGAAAGTGGCGGCTGTTGCGCAGTTCGCAGTCCCCCAGGGAGCTGCGAGGTCTCGGATGCGTGCGCGTATTCCCTTATTCCGCAGTGCCTCCCAGGAGACCAGCAGTTCGCAACCCCCCAGGGAGCTGCGAGGCCTCGGCTGGGTGCGCGTGCTCCCTTACTCCGCCGTGCCTCCCAGGAGCCCACAAAAGCGGGGACGATTGCGCATTTTGCAGCCCCCCCGTGAGCTGCGAGGTCTCGGCTGGGTGCGCGTACTCCCCTACTCCGCCGTGCATCCCCGAAACCCACGAAAATGGCACCAGTTGTCAGTTCGCAAACACCCAGGGAATTGCCAAGTCTCGGCTTGGCGTGCGTACACCGCTACTCCGCTGAACATCCCAGGAGCCCACGAATGTAGCGACAGTTGCGCAGTTCGCAGCCACCCATGGAGCAGCGCACGAGGAGGCAGGAGGCGGAGGAAGGAGAAGGAGAAGGAGTGGATACCACAGTGATCTGTTCAAAACGAGAGCCCAACACAGGAGGGTTGGGCAAAATACTATGCGGTGTATACCGGCTGCTGTTACCATCGCCTTCTCAAGCCTTCAACATCACGATCCGATGCAAACAATATGATTTGCTGCACATCCCCGATCTAAACCCAGCTCCCCAGGGATATCCACGATACCATAGATTCGCAGTTCGTAGCCGCCCAGAAACGGCAACGTCGACCCTAGGTCTGCGTAAAGCGTCACTTCGCTGGACCACGCTGCCCTTCAAAGTGGTGACAGTTTCGCTGTTCGCAGCCCCCCAGAGATGGCGAGGTCTAATATGAATCTGCCTAAGGCGTCACTCCGCTGGACCCCCAGTAGCCCTCAAACGTGGTGACAATTTCGCAGTTCGCAGCCTCCCCAGGGATGGCGAGGTCTAATCTGAATCTACCTAAGGCGTCACTCCGCTGGACCCCCACCAGCCCTCAAAAGTGTCCAATTTCGCAGTTCGCAGCCCCCCCGGGGGTGGCGAGGTCGAATCTAGGGCCCCCCACCAGCCCGACAGCTTCGCTGTTCGCAGCCCCCTAGGGATGGCGAGGTCTAATCCGAATCTACAAGGCGACACTCCGCTGGACCGCAAAGCAGCCCTCAAACGCGGGGACAATTTCACTGTTGCAGCCCCCCACCCCATATGGCGAGATCTAATATGAACCTACCCAAGGCGTCACTCCGCTGGACCCCCACCAGCCTTCAAAAGTGACGACATGTTCGCTGTTCGCAGCACCCCCCCGGGATGGCGAGGTTCACTGTCGCCTCTGTCGCCACTCCGCTGTACCCAAGCAGCTCTCGAAAGAGGCGAAAAAATTGTTGTTCGCAACCCCCCAGAGATGACGAGCTCTACGAAAGGCGACACTCCGCTGGACCCCCCAGCAGCCCTCGAAGACAACTTTGCAGCTCGCAGACTCCCAGGGATGGCGAGGTTCACTATATGTCTGCGTAAGACGTCACTCCGCTGGACCCCCTAGCAGCCCTTGAAGGTGGCGACATTTCCGCAGTTCGCAGCCCCCCGAAGATGGCGAGGTTTAGTTTCGGGATGCGTAAGATATCACTCCGCTGGACCCCCAAGCAGCCCTCAAAAGTGACGACATGTTCCCTGTTCGCAGCCCCCCAGAGATGACGATGTCAAGTGCATATCTGCGTAGGGCGTCACTCCGCTGGACCCCCAGGCAGCTCTCGAAAGTGGCGATAGCTTTGCAGATCGCAGACCCCTAGGGATGGCGAGGTCTAGTTCAGGTTTGCGTAAGGCGTCAAACTGTTGGACCCCCCAGCAGCCCTCGAACGTGGCGACAGTTTCGCAGTTCGCAGCCTCCCAGCGAACCCCCAGGCAGGACGGCGAGGTAGATGACAGGGTAGCAGGCAGGTCGGAGGGGACAGGAGGAAGGGGGCGGGAGGAGGAGGTCGCGACCGGCGTGCTCTATTCAAAACGAGAACCCAACGCAGGAGAGTCGGAGAAGAACACCGTGCGGCGCACATCTGCTGATCTTAACCTCGCCTTCACAGGCCTTCAACCCTCACGACTCTATTCGAAAATATGATTGCCTCCACATCCCGATCGCGCATCCGATGATCTCAACATCGCCTTCTGAAGCCCTCAGCCTTCACGACCCTATGCAAATGACATGTTTTGTGCACACGCCCGATCTAAACCTTTCACGATGGAAACCTGTGCCGCTCATGTTCCTTTTGCTAAAAACTAGATGCGATACACATCTGCTGATCTCGACATCGCCTTCTCAAGCCTTCAACCTTCACGATCCTATGCCAAAAGAATGCTTGTTCTGCACACCCCTGGTGAAAATCTGTCACGCTTCTGTGGCGCTCACGATCCTCTGGCCTAACACACAGAAGTTCCCCGCCCCGAGCCCTCTCCGGCGCAAAGGGGGGTAGGGGGGGTCCGAAATCCCCCCCCGTGTCCAGCACAAGGGGGAGGGAGGGGGTTGTGCGAACACACACGCACCCTTTTCAATTAGAGGGGCATCCGCTGGCGCTCTTTCCTATATAGGTGATGCAAACTATGCGGTGTGAGATGTGGTGCAAGCTGCGTGGTGCAATATGTGTGGTGTGAGCTAGGCTATCTTGGTTATGCGGTGTACGAGATGTGGCGCAAGCTTTGTGGTGCAATCTGTGCGGTGTGAGCTATGTAGAGTACGCACGGTGCGCCCACATGGCGCCCACGGGCGACAGCGGCGGAACCTCAGAGGACCCACCCAGCGCACGGGGCGCCCACGACACGCCCACGAGACGCCCACGGGCGGCAACGTGGCGAAACCTCGGCAGACACACAGACACACACACACACACACACACTAGAACCACGCGCGCGCTTCGCGCGCGCTTAGGTTCTAGCTAGGATCATTCTCGCTGGGAGTTTGACGTAGCTTCTCGGGAGCCTCTGAACCTGTCGGGGGCCTCCTGGAAGCAGGTTCGAAGCATTTTGGGGGCCGATTTGGGGCTTCTCGGGGCCTCCTGTGGGCCTCTTGGGGGTCTCCTGGGGCCTCTTGAGGGGCCTCCTTGGGGCCTCCTGGCGGCCTCTTGGGGCGGAAGGCTCGAGCGTGCGGTTCGTGGTCCCCCTCTGGGCCCCCTCTTGGGTCCGTCTTGGGGCCCTCTTGGGCCATCTTGGGCGCCTCTTGGGCCGTCTTGGGGCCCTCTTGGGCTGTCCTTGGGCCCTCTTGGAAGCTTCTTGGGCCGTCTTGGGGCGGTCTTGGGCGCCTCGTGGGCCGTCCTGTAACGTCGGAAAGCCCAAAAAGCAACTTTGTGAAAAATGTACGTTTTACGAAGGGAATGGGCCAATGTTTGCGTCTAGGGGCCCTCTTGGGACGCATGTTGGAGGCTTCTTGGGGCGTCTTGGGGGCGTCCTTGGACGTCTGGAGGCCATCTTCAGCATCTTGGAGCCCTCTTGGAGGCCTCTTGGAAGTTTCTTGGGCCGTCTTGGGCGCTTCTTGGGCCGTCTTGTCTGACTGGGGAGGCCTCCGGCAAGCCCCGACAAGCCTCCGGGCCCCCCGGGGCTCACATTTGTGGTCGGGGTCCCGGCCCCGGGCCCCCGGACCCGGTGCGCCGTTATATGTGTACACACACTCACGCTCCACGCACGGGGCGCCCACGAGGCGCCCACGGGCGGCAACGTGGCTAAACCTCGGCGGGTCCGTCCGACTCCTCAGTCAGACACATCCAGCCAGAACCCCAGCGCGCAAGCACTGCTTTGGGGCCCAAAACTGCATGGACGCAACCCTTCGGAGGTCCCTGCGGACCTCCGAAAGCTCCTGTTCCCGCAGTGGCTTCCTCCTTCGCACATATCCCACGGTCGGGCCATTGTCGGACGGCGTGCCGCCACGGCGGCCCCGGCGACGCGATGCCCCCTGCGAGCGCATGGCGCGTCGCCCCGCCCCGCGGGGCGGGAGGCTCGGAGAGGCTCGGGGCGTTTTGGCGCACGGGGACCCGGACGTGGACGGCCGTGCCGCTCCGCGGCGCGGCGGGCCAAACCCGGCGGAGCGCCGCGCCGTCCGGCAGCCTCCCGCCCGCCTCCCCCGCCCCCCGGCCGCGGCCCCGCCCCGCGGCCCCGCCCCGCGGCCCACCCCGCGACCCCCGCCCTGCGGCCCGCCCCGCGATCCCCACCCCGCGGCCCGCGGCCGCCCCCATCGCTCCTATCATCCGCAACTGCGGGGTGCTGCGCAAGGAGCCACCGCCTCCCGAGGTCCCAGAAAGGATCGGCTCCCTGGGCGCTGGGCCTCCCTCTGCACATCGGCGGCGAGCGGGGGGGGGAAGCGAGGAGGAGGAGGCCTTCTCCGAAGGCGGCTGGGCTTCTCGGAAGCCCTCGCGCCTTCGGAGAAGTTCTCCGCGTCGTCGGGGAAGGTCAGTGGGGAAACCAAAAAGGTGCCGATGCCGCTATCCCCCGGACCTCTCCCGGTGTGCGTTCTGACCAGAATTTCGAGGCGAATCCAGCGGTGGCGACGAGGGCCTCCGAGGAGGCCCAAAAGGGGGAAAATGAGGGAAGGGTAGAGGTATGGGTACCTTTTCCTCCTCTGAGTCAGAACACCTCTCAGAAGGCCGGGAGCCTCCCGAGTCTTCGGAGAAAGCCCGCCCCTCCTCGCTTCTTTCCCCCCCCCCCCCGGCGCGCCGCCGAGCACAAAAGCCCCGCCCCCGCGGCCCCGCGGGCCCACCGGCAGCGTCGCCGGGCAGCCGACCGGGGACACCAGCACCGCCAGCGAGCCGGACGCGCCCCTGCCCGCGACCGGCAGGGCACCCCGGAAGCCCTGTGGGGGGGGGGCAGGGCGGCGGCGGCGGCCCTCCTCCTCCTCCTCCTCCTCCTCCTCCTCCTCCTCCTCCTCCTCCTCCCCTCCTCCTCCTCCTCCTCCTCCTCCTCCTCCTCCTCCTCCTCCTCCTCTCCCTCCTCCCTCCCTCCCTCCCTCCTCCCTCCCCTCCCTCCCTCCCTCCCTCCCTCCCTCCCTCCCTCCCTCCCTCCCTCCTCCCTCCCTCCCTCCCTCCCTCCCTCCCTCCCCCCTCCCTCCTCTCCTCCTCCTCCTCCTCCTCCTCCTCCTCCTCCTCCTCCTCCCTCCCTCCCTCCCTCCCTCCCTCCCTCCCTCCCTCCCTCCTCCCTCCTCCCTCCCTCCCCTCCCTCCTCCTCCTCCACCTCCTCCTCCTCCTCCTCCTCCTCCTCCTCCTCCTTTCTGCCGCGGGGCCTGAAACCACCAGCCCTCTGGGAGTAGGTGGCTTAACAAGTTTAGTTTCTGCTTCTTCCATAGCCCCTTCTTCACCTGCTCGGGGGAGGAGGTTGTCACCGCTCCTTATTGATATACACCCCCTCCCCCAGGCGACCAGCAGCCAACCAAAAACAATGAGGGCCCCATGCTCACACCTCGCAACTATCCTTATCAAAAAAACAATATAAAACACGCTCTGCCTCCAAATTTGGAGCGTCCGCAACCAACCCGATGCGGGCCCCCTACCACCCCTGTCAAAAAGCCATACAACATACACTCTGGGGCCAAGTCTGGAGTCATGTTCGTGAGGCCCGCGAGCATTTTGTTTTTTTTTTGACAGGGACGGCGGGGGTGTCAGCATATTGCCTTCTGCGCGCAGGGCTACCTTCCCTGACCAAAAAAGAATACACAAAGCACCTCGCGGCTAAATCCGCCGACCCCTTGGGTTCACGGCGTGTGAGATGCTTCCCCAATCCCCAAACCCCTCCCCCGAGAGCCCTGTCCGGACGGGTTGGAAGAGGCGGGGGGCCCCAAAACGGGCCAACAAGGCCCCAAAAGGCCCCCCGGACGGTCCAAGAGGGCTACGAGTCGCCGAAAGATCGCTCCAAGGCGCAGCCCCCAAGATGCCCCAAGAAGCCACCAAGAGGCGTCCCAAGAGGCCCTCCAGAAGCAAAAATCATCGCATTCCCACAATCGCCTCTTGGGCTTTCACGAGGCACACATCGGCCCAAGGAGCCTTCACCTCAAGATCGACCCAAAATAACCCAAGAGGGCTCCAACACGGCCCAAGGAGGCCCCAAGACAGCCCCAAAGCTTCCAGAACGGCCCAGGAGGGCCCCAGGACGGCCCCAAGAGGAGGCCCGGAGGGGGGGGGAACCCAAATGGACATTTCTTGCCCTCGGCCCCGAAAAAACCTCTGGAGGCGCCAAGAGGCCTCCAAGAGGCTCCCACGAGGCTCCTGAGAGGCCCAAAAGAAGCCCCTAGAGGCCTCAACACGGCTCCCAAGAGGCATCAAAGTGCTGCCAGGAGAGCCCAAAGAAGCCCAAGAGCAGAGCCGCGATCCGCCAACCGCCCCCGACGAAATCCCAAGAAGCTGAAACCCCAAGATTCCCCAGAAATCGCGCGCGTTCCGCAAACTCTGTTTTTCACTCTTACTGTCGTCCTAAGGGGTCGGCGCTGCGGCGTCAGCCAATGAATCTGGATCATGCGTGGCCACCCCGCGATCACTGTCAAGTTGTTTTTGATATGGACGGCGGGGGTGGTGGCGTATGACCTACTTTGCGCAGGCCCACCAGACACAACGATGGGCATTGGTTTTCGACTAGGATGGCGGGGGCCGACATGTTTCCCGATGTGTGCTGTCACGTGCGCAAGCGCACCTGACGCACTCCTCACGTGCCCCAAACGTGGCGCACCTGGCGCGGCTGGAGTATGCGGCGCACCTGGCGCACGCGGAGGCACGTGGCGCATCTGGCGCATCTGGCGCACCAGACGTGCCTGGCACGCTCGGGCCCCAGGGGTGCCTGACGCGCGTGGTGCGCCTGGCACGCGTGGCGCACCTCGACCCCAGCGCTGCGCACATGGACTCGGCTCTGTTTCCCAGTACCGTCGGGGCGTTGACCTAAGGAACCCTAAATAAGGAACGAGGCCCCTTTTTCCCACACGTTGAAATTCGATTTCCCAGGGAAAATCTCAAGAAAATTGAAGGCAAACTGCAGAACCATCAAGGAACGCCGGACCCCCTCTCCAACGAAAAGGGTTCCTTCTTCAGGGCCCCGACTGTAGTAGCTGCCCATTCAAAGACGACCGCTGGACATGCTCAGGCTCGGGTGTCACTTATTTGTTGGGAAGGCGGGTGGGGGTGAGCTAGACGGCTTGCTATCTAGGAGGGTGTATTGATCACTTTTCCATATTAATATACACCCCCTCCCCCAGGCGACTGGCGTCCAAACAGGAAACATGAGGACACCATGCCGACTCGCCACCCACCATCCTTGTCAACAAACAATAAATACAAGCCGCACTCTTCCTTCACATTTGGAGCAGGCGCGGCCAACCCGATGCGCCCCACCACCACCACCCCTGTCAAAAAAAAATGCGAAGTACACTTTGGGGCAAAGTCTTGAGTCGTGTTCGTGAGGCCCGCGAGCACTTCGTATTGTTTTTCAACGTTTTTGACAGGGACGGCTGGGGTGCCAGCATGTTCCCTGCCATGCGCAGGGCGACCACCCCTGACAAAAAAACAGTACGACATGCACCTCGCGGCTAAATCTGGATCATGCGCGGCCACCCCGCGATCACTGTCAAACTGTTGACAACAAGGACCGCGGGGGTGGTGGCGCGTGGCCTGTTGTGCGCAGGCCCACCAGACACAACGATGGGCATTGGTTTTCGACAAGGATGGCGGGGGCCGACATGTTTCCCGATGTGTGCTGTCACGTGCGCAGGCGCACCTGACGCACTCTGCACGCGCCCCGAACATGGCGCACCTGGCGCCGCTGGAGTGTGCGGCGCACCTGGCGCACTCGGAGCACGTGGCGCATCTGGCGCACCAGGCGTGCCTGGCACGCTCGGGCCCCAGGGGTGCCTGGCGCGCGTGGCGCCCCTGGCACGCGCGGCGCACCTCGCCCCAGCGTCGCGCACATGGAGTCGGCTTTGGTTCCCAGTAGCTGTCCATCCAAAGACGACCGCTGAACATGCTCAGGCTCGGGCGTTACTTATGTGTTGGGAGGGCGGGTGGGAGTGAGCTAGACGGCTTGCGGGCGGGTGGGTAGCTTGACCCCTCCCCCTACCCCCTTTCCCCTGGGTTTGGACGGGGCGCCCCGCGAGGTGTCAGAGGGCGCCTTTCGGTCCCAGAGGGCTCCAAGAGGGCCTCCGAGAGCCCAAGATGGCCTCCAAGATTGCCCGAGATGCTTCAACATGGCTCAAGATAATCCCCGGCATACCTCCACGACGCCCCAAGACAGCCCTAAGACGATTCTAAGGGCACTCCGAACCTTTCAAGGACCCCCCAAAAAGGCCAAAATCTTTCAAAAACCGACGGAAAAGCAATGGTTGTTGTTTTCTCGCCTTATCGCTTCCGATGAGCGTTTGACACTTCAGGATGGCCCCAGGACGGCCCAAGAAGACCCCAAGAGAGCCCGCCCCAAGAGCGCCCCAAGAGGACCCCAAGAGGCCATTCTTGAGCCTCCGAAGGGGGGGGGGGGCTAAACTAATCCCTCCCTTTTGGAGGCATGGGGGCCAAGATGACCCCAAGAGGCCTCCCTGACACCCCCAACGAGCCCCAAGAGAGCCCCAAGAAGGCCCCAAGCAGGCCCCAAGAGGCTTCGCGAGGACCCCAAGATGGCTCCAAGAGACCTCCGAGAAAGCGCTTCCAAGGCGGCCATTGCACTGCATCCTTCCACACTTCCCCGATCAAGGCAGCTCGCCTGGCGAGCTGCTTCTGGATGGGCGCGTGGGGGTATTTTTTGATCTGCGGCTCCATGGACGATTCCAGAGAGCGGGTCGGATCGAGCATGGGACAGCACGCAAGATAATTGCCAGCGGGCCAAAAGCCGACGCCGGAGTGCACATGCGCCAAAGAGAGCAAGCTTGAGCCAAGCGAGATAATTGCCAGCGGGCCAAAAGCCAACGCCGGGATGCACATGCAAGGGGAGAAACCCAAGAGGCCCAGCAAAGCCAGACGGCGAGCAGGTAATACCAGCGGGCCAAAAGCCGACGCCGGAGAGAACCTGCGGGGAAAAATTGAACCGCATGCCGACGACCCGGCACACGGTGAAAGCGAGGCTTGAACCAGGAACCCTCACTCACGGAGCAACAAAAGCTCATGGACAGCTGCACGCAACCAGTAGGTTGAAGCACCACTGAACACGGTCGTCAGACGAAGTGCGTCGAGGGGGGCGTGGGCCTTCCCGCCGACCACACCAGGCCGAGGTGAGCCCAGGCGCGCAGAGACCATGTCCGAGAACGAGGCACGTGATGAAGCCGTCGTAGGCGCCTGCCAATGGGGGGTGCCACAGAGCAGTGCCGACGTGAAAAGGGGGAGCGCGTGGGGGTACGCGACGCGTGAAGGATTTGTTCTCCCAGACCCGTTCGTGGGAGGAGGAGGAGGAGGAGGAAGAGGAGGAGGAGGAGGAGGAGGAGAGAGGAGGAGCAGGAGGAGGAGGACGATACGCGACGCGTCGTGAGAAGAGTTCTCCCCAGACCTTCCCGCGTCGCGACATAGAAAATCGGGACGGGAGAGGCTTTGGGCGCGAGCGCGGCGCAGCCTCCCGCGACGACGCTCAGCCGACTACGGCGGGGGGGAGCCCGCCGCGAGATGTCGGGGAGGCTCGCGCGGCGCCCTCGGGAAAGTGTCTCTCAAGTCTGGGGCAGCTTTCGAATCCCACCAGCCCTGTAGGGCGTAGGTGGTTTACGGCGTTTCCTCTTCCACCCCCTTCTTCCCCTTCGGGGAGGGGTTTACCCCTCCCCCTTACCCCCTCCCCTGGACCTGGAAGGAACGCTCCGCGAGCGGTCGGAGCGTCCAAAACGGCCTCGGCGAGGAAGCCAAAATCATTCCCCAATCAGTGCTTGCACTGAAGGGGTTCTAGCGGAAATTGAAAGATTTGGCGAAAGCCTCCCGCCGATTTTGGTAGCAGGCTGGGTTCCCGGGTTCCCGGGTTCCCTGTTCCGTGTTCCCGGTTATTGGTTCCGGGTCGATTTCGGTGGGTTCTGGGTTCCCGGGCTCCCGGGTTCCCGGTCGATCTCCTCGGCGAAAACCATCCACTGATTGGGTTTTTCTCTGGTGTAACTTTTCCCATTAAAATGATCTGCGCGATACTTCGGGGTTTCGCGCCACCCATGCGTGGGTTGAATTGGGTATAGTGTGGGCGCATGTTGGGTCTAGTGTGGGTCTCCGTTGTAGGTCTATGTTGAGCTTGATATGGGTTGATTTTGATGATGCTGATGCGGATGCTGATGGCGATGTCGGTGATAAGGACTGCGACCGTTTAACCCTGATAGGTCATCAGAACCCCCCCAATAGTTGAAAACTGATTATCTGTTCGGCGACCTTCTTGACGGACTGGGATCCCACCCACAATGGAAAATTACTATTTCTCCGCGGCGCCCGCCGCGCGACAACGACAACAGCGACGACGACGACGACGACGCCGACGACGAAAACGACGACGACGACGACGACGACACCTACAATTACGATTACGACTACAACCCCGATACGACTAGGGCTGTAGAAGAAGAAGGAAGAGGAGAAGGGAGGAGGAGGAGGAGAAGGAGGAGGAGGAGCAGGAGGAGGAGGAGAAGGAGGAGGAGGAGGAGCAGGAGGAGGAGGAGGAGGGGCGGAATGTATTCCCCGCCGAGGGTCCGCGACCACCAAGATGACGGTGGCCTGTAGCATTCAGGTCCAAGGACGACGCGCGCCATTACCGCGCGCTCCTGACATGACTAATTGTGGCTGGGCGCACACGCCGACGCCACCCTGGCGTAGTTTAGCGCCAAATCGGCGCGGTCACAAAGCCGCGCGATGGTCGCGCAGAGGTTCCGCAGCGTTTGCGCGAAAGTGCAAATTCCCGCGCGACCCCCCCCCCTAGACCCCTGTGAGGCCCTCTCTGTACCATTACATGCCCTCCCCTCTCCCCATCAGGTGCCCACAAGAGGATGGCGCGAGAGGGGGGCGGCCTTCTGAGAAGGCGGCAAAGCTTCATAGAAGGCAAGGGCCCTTTTGGACGGCCCCGGAGGCTTCCAGGAAGGCTTCTCAGACCGGCGGACTCCTACGAAGCCCCCCATGGCTTGTAGAAGGCCCGCCGCCTTCTTAGAAGGCCATTCCCCTCGGGCCAGCTCTCTCTGGGCGCCGCCGAGTCCCCCTTCCCCATATCAGCCCTCCCTTTCGCCCCCCCCCCAAACATCAAAGAGGGGCGAGGAGCAAGCAGAGGAGGAGGGCCACGCAGCCTGGTGCCACGCGGCCTGTTGGAGCACGAGGCGGGGAGAGGAGGAGAAGGAGGGGGACGGGAGGGGAAAGAGCGGGCGACTGGCGGTCGGGGCGCGCGGGCCCCGCGCGCGGCGGGCGAGCGCAGCCCGAGGCGCGCCCGCGCTCCAGGGACCCCATCGGACGCGGGAGCCCTGGAGCAGAGTAGAGGAGGGGGAGGAGGGGTGGAGCAGGAGGAGAACCAGGAGGAGGAGGAGGAGGAGGAGGAAGGAGGGATGAAAGAGGAGAGGGGCGAGGAGGAAGAGAAGGAGGAGGAGGAGGAGGAGGCGGAGGAGGAGGAAGAGGAGGAGGGAGGGAGGAGGATGAGGAGGAGGAGGAGGAGGAGACTGTGACGACGTCGGTTCTGGCTTCTGACACCGCGTGCACCGCTCCACCTCCTACCGCCACCCTTCGAGGGAGGCGCCCGGAGGCTGCCCGAACCCCCCCACGCCAGCCGTGGGCATCCGTGGGCCATCCGTGGCCCGAGACGGGCGTCATGGAGGGCACTCTGCGAGGCGGGGATGTATCCACATCCACCGCCTGGGAAACGACGTCCCGGTGCCCCAGCGAGCGGTGGATATGGATATATTGTGGCCCCCGGGGGCCCGAATATATCCATGTCCACCGCCTGCGAGGTCCCCAAAAATTGATCCTCCAGGCGGTGGTCATGTAACTAGATTCCCGCCTCGGGCACTCGACCTTCTGCAGGCCCGTGCCGGCGCCGCCGCCGCGTCGATACAGTCATCGATGTCAACTCGTGGGGAGCCTCCCACGCCATCTTGCTGACTCTTGCGAAATCGACGCGAACCGACGCGAATCGACGCTAGCCGACGCCGAATCGACGCCGAATCGACGCTCATCGGCGCCAGATAGGAGCTGCCTGATCGACTACCAGACGCGAATCGATGATACTGCACCCAAGAGACGGACTTACGAGGGCGTACAAGGCTCCCGTGAGTTGCTACCGAAACAGTCATCGCGCATCGTGCCACCACAAGGAACGCTGACTAAAGAACACAGGGGCTTCACTAGCCACGCCGGAACTCGGCCACGAAGAGGCCCCTCGATCTAGATATCTCAAGAGCGGCCCAAGCAAGAGGAGAGCCCCTCATGCACCGAAGGTGGTCGTTACTTCGCCGTCGTGGCCGTGCGCCTCCTCCTCCTCCTCCTCCTCCTCCTCCTCCTCCTCCTCCTCCTCCTCCTCCTCCTCCTCCTCCTCCTCCTCCTCCTCCCCCTCATCCCCCTCCCCCTCCTCCCCCTCTGGCCGTGGCGGCCCGGTGCCCCGCTTCCCCCCCGCGAGTTGAGCATCCTGGAGCGCAGAAGTCTTCGCACAGAGCATCGGCGGCGTGCCAAAGGGGAAGTGAGAGGGGGCAGGCGTTCTCAGAAGGCGGCGGGGCTTCTGACAAGCCCTCTGGCCTTCTGAGATGCGGGGCCCGAAGGTATACGCCACCACCACCTCCCTCGTCCCCTCCCTCTCCCAGGAAAGAGGAGGGGAGGATGAGGGTGGAGGAGGGAGGGGGAATGGAGGTGGTGGTGTATATTATCAGAACCCGCATGAGAAGCCCTCTCTGCGGCTTCGGAGAAAGATCAGAAAGGTTCTTCTCAGAAAGCCTCCGGCCTTCTAGGCCTTCTGAGAAGGCCCGCTCCCCCTGCCTTCCCCCCTGGGCGCGCAGCCGAAATCAGAACATGTTGCTTGGTCTGCGGCGACGTGGGTCCCAGAAGCGGTCGCCCACCACGGCGGGACGCGCCCGTAACAATGTCACAGCGAGAGCAGGAGGAGGGGCAAGGAGACAGAAGGAAGCGGCTGCGGAACAGTCAGAGTGCTGCCGAAAGTTACGTGTTCGACCATGGACCCCTTGTTGCCCATTGCTCCTGGGCTGTTTTCGGCGGTCCTCGGCGGTCCTCGGACGGTCTTCGGCGGTCTTCAGCGGTCTTCGGCGGTCTTCTGACGGTCGTCGGCGGCTTCCAGCGGTGTTTGCCGGTTTCCAGCGGTCTTCGGCGCGAAAGCTGGATGATTGCATTCAACAAGGGGTCCGTGATCGAACACCTAAGCGACATACTAAGGAGCGCGAGCGTCAGGGCAGGCTTAGGCTGCATCGAAACGCGAAATCGAATCGGATGAGAAACCGATCGGATCGCCAGCGAATCGTGCCGAACCACAATCAGATCGCCGCGCCCGCCTCTGGCAGGCCCGAGCCGATGCCGGTAAATCGAACCAAACCGAATTGGGGTCGCGGTCCCAGCCAACGAATTGACGAACGAACAACACACACACTCACACACACACACACACACACATACCCACAAGGGGGACAGAGGAAGCTGCGGGTGCGTGTTGTCGGACGGGGTCCCCGCTCGAACGGCAGCCACCCCCAGGGGTCCGACAACCCGCACCCATACCCATAGCCAGGCCTCCTCCCTCCGCCCCAGCTAGGGGAAGCGCTCGTCACGAATCGAATGACAACACCCCTGCCGAAAGCAGAACACCTGATCCCCCCCCCAAGAGGAGAAACAAAAAAAAACAAAAAACACGGGAAGGCCTGCGGGTAGAAGTCGGAGCCCTGGAGCTTCCCGCCGGCCAGCGGGCTGCCATCCTCTGGGGCGCAGGGGGGGGGGGATGGAGTGGAGGCTGGCTGGAGGGAAGGGGGAGGAAGGGGAGGAGGAGGAGGAGAAGACCAGAAACGATGTCTTCCGGAAAGAAGGTACAGCGTATGATGGTCCAAGAGGGAATGTCTAAGGCGAGTCTAAGGCGGGCACGGTGCACTGATCAGGCCTTGAGCCGAGAGAGCGCAGCGGGCCAGAGGAGCTAACAAGGAGCTACAGTTCGAGAAGAAGGAGGAGCAGGAGGAGAAGGAGGAAGGGGAGGCGGAGGAGGAGGAGGAGGAGGAGGAGGAGGAGAAGGAGAAGGAGAAGGAGAAGGAGGTGGAGGGGGGAGGAAAGGAGGGCATCGTCGACCATCGACCCTGATGCCCACAGCATGAAAGCGATGGAGAGGAGAAAGAGGAGGAGGAGGAGGAGGAGGAGGAGGAGGAGGAGGAGGACCAGAGTAAACCAAGATACGTCAGCGATGCTCAACCACACCCGCCCGTCCCAAGTCCCCTCCTTACACGTCCCTACAAGATTTTCTTCTCCCTCCAAGAAGCGCCCCCCTTGAAGGACCAGCGCAACATGGGCCTGCCGTTTTGGCGAGGCCCTCGCTTTGAAGATGAAATGCCTCGCGTCCTCCTGGCGCATATCCAGGAACACGAAGCTATGATGATGCAGCCCAGCGAGGTGTCAAGCGAGATCCCCCGCTCAAGAAAGGACCACCCACCCATCAGCGTATTTGCTGCACACGTTGGCACTTGTGTCAGGTCGGGCATGTCCCCCTACAGGCGGATTTTGGACGAGAAATCAACAATTCCCCCCCACACCCCCCCGAAAAAAACAAAAAACATGAATCTATACATATATAGATATATACACACGATGCTAAGGCTCGCTGCGCTTCGCCTTCTAATATTGTTCCTTGCGCCGACGTGTCTCTAGTGACGCTGCGGTCAAGATCATAGTCATCGTCGTCGTCGCCGCCGCCGTCGTCGTCGTCGTAATTGTCATCGTCGTCATCGGTGTTGTCCTCTCAGTCGCCGTCGTCGTCGTTTGTCGTCATATGTCGTCGTATGCCGTCGTATGTCGTCGTATGGTGCCGTCGTCGGCGTCGTATGTTGTCGTATGTCGCCGTCGTCGTCGTCGTTTTCGCGCAGGCCTTCGCAAGAGTGGGTCCAGACTATGATGTCATTCTACGCCCCTTGGACCGCTTCAGCGGCGACGAAGGGCCCCTCTGAAGGCTCAAAGGAGGACGAAAACGCAGGAAAATCCGAACGATCGGACCTCGGCCCTCGGTGTCTTCCCCTCCACGTCTTTGCCGAGCGGAGCCGCGCGCCGAAGTGGGCTCCAAACCAGTGTCTGGACTCCTGCTCAGAATCCTCCGGCGAGAACCTTCACCGCAGGATCCGTTTCTGACAGCCTCGGGGCCGGGAAGCGACCTCCCAGGGCCGCAATCGCGAGGACGTCCTCGAGCCTTGATCGCCGAATTCCCTTGTCATCCTCCTCCTCCTCCTCGTCCTCCTCCTCCTCTTCCTCTTCCTGCTCCTGCTCCTTTTTCGTCTCCTCCTCCTCCTCGTCTTCCTTCTCCTCTATCTCACAGAACGAAAAATAGTCGGCAAATCGTCCCCATACAATTTTGGACCCTTTTTGAATCTTCCTCCTGTAGAGGGGCATGCCCGACTTAATACTTGTGGTTATGGATATCGAGAAGGTCTCAAGCGAGACCTCGACTTTGAAAAGGAGCCGCCCTCGTTCTGTGCAGTGCTACATGTGGTGAAACGTCGGGGCTTCAAGGATGTCTCAAGCCATAGCCACAGTTCGACAAGAATCACAACAACAACAACAAAACACAAACAACAAAACCAAAAAAAACGTCCACCATCCTTCTAACGGCTGAAAGGTTTCAAAGCGAGTGCGCGCGAGGCGCTAAGGCGAGAACCCAGTTCTGAAAACGACCAGTGCTTCATGCTGGCAACTGCTGCATGATTATAAAACTGCTACGCGCGACGCTCAGGCGAGAGCCCCATTTGGGATACCTCCTCCGCCCTAGTCTTGTAAGTCGTACAGGCATTGGAAAACAAGCGTGCGCGGTGCGCAAGGGCGAGAGCCCCACTAGGAAAATCCCCTGTGCCCCCTCCTGGCAACTAGAGCAGAGCCAGAGACATCCGTGCGCGGCGCCAAGTCGAGAGACCCACTCCGAAAACGACCCCCGGTCGCATCCTGAACCTGCGACGGACGTTCAAGACAGCTCTGCGTGAGGAGCTGCAGCGCGAGCCACCTGCTGAGAATCGAGGAGGAGGAGGAGGAGGAGGAGGAGGAGGAGGAGGAGGAGGAGGAGGGGGAGGAGGAGGGGGAGGGGGAGGGAGGAGGAGAAAAGGGGAGGGAGGAGGAGCCGAAGCGAGGGCCACCTGCTGAGAATCAGCAGCCCTCCGTCCTCGCAGCTGGTGCGCAAGCTCGACGTCGACGGAGCGAGCGCCCCCTTCTGAAGAGGAACCGCCCTCCGTCCTCGAAGCGGATGCAGGACTCAGGTCGGGCCTGTCCCCCCAAAACCAAAAGGGAAAAAAAAGTCAGCTCATACCCCAAAATCGTCCCCAGGCTATGTGTTTGACTATTTTTGCATACTCCTCCTGTAGAGGGACAGGCCCGACTCAGGTCGGGCCTGTCCCCCCAAAACCAAAAGGGAAAAAAAGTCAGTTCATACCCTAAAATCGTCCCCAGGCTATGTGTTTGACTATTTTTGCATACTCCTCCTGTAAAGGGACAGGCCCGACTTAGGTCGGGCCTGTCCCCCTACAGGCGGACTCCGCAAGGAGCCGAACTCTGTACACCGGCGCTTTGTCCGGCCCCGCACTGCAATGCACACAGGAAAGCGGATCCTGGTGTATGCGGATCCTGGTGTATGCATTTCTTGATGTTCCCCCCCGGGAAATGGGAAACAGGTATACACCACACCACCCCGACGTCGCCCCCGACCCTCAAAAAGTCCTGGGATTGAAAAACAGCCCGCCACAGGCCACTGGTAGTGTATCCGCCGGCCCCCTTGTGGGGCCACCAGCCTGTAGGCCCGTGATTCGCAGTTTCCTGTACCAGTCGTAGGTTGTAGTTTTCTTGCTGGTTACTGTAACTAGTTGACTTATTGCTGGTTACTGTAACTAGTTGATTGACCGCGCGAGGGGGGGGAGGCCCAAAGTGGCTTTTTAGCGTCCCTTGGGCGCGTTGTCTGAATTGCTGGGGGGGCTCGAGATCGACACCCCTCACGCAGATCCGCAGGGTCAGGGTCCAAAAACACAGGGGATTTGCCACATTTCTGAAATTCGGCGCCACCCCTCACGCAGATCCGCGGGGTCAGGGTCCAAAAACACAGGGGATTTGCCACATTTCTGAAATTCGGTGCCACCCCTCACGCAGATCCGCGGGGTCAGGGTCCAAAAACACAAGGGATTTGCCACATTTCTGAAATTCGGTGCCACCCCTCACGCAGATCCGCGGGGTCAGGGTCCAAAAACACAGGGGATTTGCCACATTTCTGAAATTCGGTGCCACCCCTCACGCAGATCCGCGGGGTCAGGGTCCAAAAACACAGGGATTTGCCACATTTCTGAAATTCGGTGCCACCCCTCACGCAGATCCGCGGGGTCAGGGTCCAAAAACACATGGGATTTGCCACATTTCTGAAATTCGGTGCCACCCCTCACGCAGATCCGCGGGGTCAGGGTCCAAAAACACAGGGGATTTGCCACATTTCTGAAATTCGGTGCCACCCCTCACGCAGATCCGCGGGGTCAGGGTCCAAAAACACAGGGGACATTTGCACATTTCTTTGCCACATTTCTGAAATTCGGTGCCACCCTTCACGCACATCCATCGCAAGGCGTGGTAACCCAAACTGCGAGAACTCCCTCGGCCCTTTAATCGCAAGGTGTGGTAACCAAGCCCGTAAACCATACACGTCTTACCAATCGCCAGGTGTTGTAACCCCTCTTGTGATCAGTTGGTTTTGCTGATTGCGAATCGGCTTCGCATGAAGTTTCGATACTGCTTCACGACAGCGCCAAGGCCTCATGACTTAGCTCTTCCATGGCCCATTCTCCGAGAGAGGGGCCCGGCGGCAGGGGGCGAAGCCCTTACGGATATGCTCCAGCTTCCGACTTCGGGCGAAAAACAGAAAATATTCAAAAAATGTTACAAAAATTGTCGACAAATGCTCGAAAATCGTTCTCGGACTATTTGTTTTACTACTTTTGAATTTTCCTCCTGTGGAGGGACGGGCCCGACTCAATGCAAGACGCTTCAGACGAATGTGCGCGGCGCGAAGGCTTCAGCCTCCAGCCCCCGTTGGGGCAAAAGCACTCCCCCCTCCGCCCCTGAAGTGCGAGGCGGGGATTTGTCCATATCCACCGCCTGGGAACCGACGCCCTGTTACCCCAGCGGGCGGTGGATACGGATACGTGTTGGCCCCCGGGGGCCCGAATATATCCATATCCACCGCCCGCCGAGGTCCCCGAAAATTGACCCTCCAGGCGGTGGTCACGTAATAACTCCCGTCCCTGAAGCTGCTGCAGACTTCAGGCCTCAGGATCGCGAGCGGTGCGGAAAACTCGGGCGCGTCCGGCCCGCTCTACTGACACGTCTGGAGGTGCGACAGGGAGGAATCATGCACATCAGGACACATGGATGCAGGAGGAGGACGAGGAGGAGGAAGAGGAGGAGGAGGAGGAGGAGGAGGAGGAGGACGGGGAGGGGGAGGTTGGAGGGATCTGCCTCCTCCTGGTGCCCCTCACCCTGCTGGTGTTGGACGCTCCTGGCACCAGCGCTGGGCCCCAGAAGTATGCTGCCGAGGCCATCGGCCGCGATGCCGACGACGAGGGCGGCGCGGCGACGCACCGCGCCCTCTTGCACCAGCCTGGCTGCCCAGGAGCCGCAGCCGCTCCCCGAGCGCAGGAGGAAGGCAAGAAGAAGTGACGTGGGCCCCGGCCACGGACGGCAACGGGGCGGGAGGGTGCCCCGCGCGCAGGCGGGGCCCGGCTGCCACCGCAGAGTTCTAGCGAAGCTCAGCGGGAATCGTACACATCTCTAGGTAGGCACAGCGGACACGGGCACCGCACGATCGGCCACGGCGTCTCTGCAGCGGGCGCAACGGAACTACTCGGCGGGGCTCAACAGGCATCGTATGAGTCTGGGCCAGAGAGACATGCACACGCCCTCCAAACGAGCCGCTGAACACCGCCATCAAGATGGGGTCAAAAGGAGAAGAGAATCCTATCATCGCTTCCGCCGGCGACCCCGCTGCACGGACTGTCTCCTCCTCCTCCTCCTCCTCCTCCTCCTCCTCCTCCTCCTCCTCCTCCGACCCGTTGTGCGGCCATCCCGCTGGGAGCCGCTAACAAGTCCTTCCACTCCTAACACCCCGCAACCCCAAGCGCACCCGCCCGAGCAGGGCTGAGAGTGTTTTTTTTCATGGGGCGCATGGCCGAGGGCAGCAAGGGTGGGAAAGGCAGGGAACCTTGCAGAGGTAGGCGCGGCGTAAGCAGGATGATGGCAGCGGTGGTGGGTACAGGGCGCTGGGTGTCGGGGGCGGCTCGGCTGTCCTCAGGGATGTGATAGAATAAGTGTGAGGCGTCAGCAGTGGGATAGGGCTTGCCAAGGATAATGCTGGACATAGCAAGCGAGGGCAGGACTTGTAGTAGTCGGCGGGGTGAATTAGGGCATGTCCCATGGGGTATGGGCGTTCACCGTTGCTATCCCGACCGCGGCGATACACGCGGAAACCGGAGACTATCATTACTGGGGTTCCAGCGCTACTCAGCACACGAGTAGTCAACTCTCCCATGAGACGATGCAGTCGCGGATGAGCAGGTCGCGCTCGGCAAGAGTCGGGCGCACCTAGTCCTACCACATGCGAACTTCGGCTTCCCCCTGCAATGGTACTTCGAATTCTCGATCGATCCGTCGAAGCGTAGCCACTCCATCTGTCGGGACGCACAGAGACATACTAATACGACATGCCCTCCTTGGAGGCGCGCGTCCGACCCGAACATGCAGTATGCCCATCTTGCAGCATGTAGTTTCCCGAGCGGTGTGGCCAGAAAGCGCCCGCCACGACGTACATACTATGATCAGGGGGGCGTAAGACCCGGGTACAGGGGACTCGGAAATCCCCGACGAGGTCGTCAAAAACATGACGAGGCCGAGCCTGCATTTTGACGAGGCCTCCCGCTGCAGACATCCCACGAAACTCCTACTCGTCAAAATCCGAGTCGCGGTCGTCAAAAAACGATGGCGAACCCAAGTCCTGGCAAACCCGGGTCTTACGCTCCCCCGATATGAGGTTTCTCAGTGCGCGCGTCGCCCCTTGGGGGGGGAGGGGGGCAACGCACATATAGCATGAGCATGTTGGGGTGACGCCCGACCACATGTTGGCGGACACCTCGGAGGCCGGCACTCCGCCCTCGCAGGACGCGAGCGGTCGCCTCGGCCAGCTCCCGGCGAGGCGCCGCCCGTGGAGACGGCCTCGGAGGCCTTCGCCTCCTCCGGGGGCCAACCCCTGAGAGACACGGCAACCATGCCAAAAATCGGCCGTGCACACGCGGCCGCCCCCCTGGGCCGCGCGGGCGGGTCTCCTGGTCCAAAACCTGGAACTCGAGCGCGTCGCCTCGACGCCCGAGCTACTGCGTGAGAGAGAGGGCCCTCCTCCTCTACCTGCTCCAACTCCTCCTCTTTCCTCCTCCTCCTCCTCCTCCTCCTCCTCCTTCCGCCTCCTCGTCCTCCTCCTCTCCTCCTCCTCCTCCTCCTCCTCCTCCTCCTCCTCCTCCTCCTCCTCCTCCTTTCCTCCTCTCCTCCTCCTCCTCCTCCTCCTCCTCCTCCTCCTCCTCCTCCTCCTCCTCATCCTCCTTCTCCTCTTCCTCCTCCTCCTTCTCCTTCTCCTCCTTCTCCTCCTCCTCGTCTTCCTCCTGCTGCTCCTCCTCCTCCTTCATCATAATCATCATCATCAGCAGCAGCACCATCATCATCATCATCATCATCATCATCATCATCATCATCATCAGCATCATCATCATCATCATCATCATCATCATCATCATCATCATCATCATCATCATCATCATCATCATCAGCATCATCATCATCATCATCATCATCATCATCATCATCATCATCATCATCATCATCATCATCATCATCATCATCATCATCATCATCATCATCATCGTCATCATCATATTCAACAGCATCATCACGATCCTCAGCATCAGCAGCAACAGCATAATCATCATCAGCATCATCATCAGCATCACCATGATAATCAGCATCATCATAATCAGCATTCGCATCATCAACACCATCATCATGATCATATACAGCAGCAGCATCATCATCAGCAGCATCATCAGCATCATCATTAGCATCATCATCATCATCATCATCAGCAGCATCACCATTATCATGATCATCCTGCCAATCCTCCGTCGAAGGGACTTTCCACCATTGCCCCGCCCAGAGATTTCCAGGGGCTGCCGCCGCTGACTGCCTTGTGAAGTCACCTGACGAGAGGTCAATCGAGAAATCGGTCAGCCAGCGCGGACCCCAAACATTGTCTCCAGCGGTCTACGTCGTGCAATATATGAGGAACCGTATGTGTATTTATACATATACATATACATGTAGATGTACACATTTACATATGTATATATATATATATATGCATATCTATATATATATATACATGTATGGGGCAGTCGTCGCACTCGCGCCTCCACCCTCCCCCACAGCGCGGCCGCTGCTCGGGCTGTCCGCGTCGAAGCCGACGACGCCGTCGAGGGGCGGCGCTGCCGGCGGCGGAGCCTCCGCCGCGATGTCCGGGAGGCCCCGTCGACTAGCCTCCTCGCACGCGCCGTAGAGGCTCAAGAAGTTACGCTGGAGCGCGAGCCCCCCCGCCCTGCCCCTGCCCCACGCGTCATCGCAGACCTCTGGCGCAACGGCATGCCGCGTCGCCTCCCGGGACAAGCCACGACCTGCAGCCTGCCCCTCGACGACGCAGCCGATGTTGGAGCAATGCACGCAGGTTGGAGACACGCGCTTCGAAGTCTAGCCAGCCCCTCTGAGCCGCGCCCTCGTGCATCAACGCAGCGGGGTAGCACCATGCTGCGGCCAACCTCCGCAGCGATCGCTCCATTTGCGCATCTTCACGGCGTCTATCTTGCCCGATGCGAGCCCCCCCACTCGTCGCCAGGGCCCGCTGCCACGGCGCCCCCCGCGGCCTCGCTCGAGATCTGGCTCCTGAGGCCCCTTGATCTCTCGGACCTGCTGCGCCGCGCCGGTGGCCCCCCCGAGGAGCGCGCTTCGCGGGCGTCGTCGCGGACGGCGCCCGCCCATGCTCCCCCGGGTGGTGGAAAGGCCCCACTGCGACCGAGCAACGCGGCCTCGCGGTCCCGACATTCCTCGCGCCCCACCTTGGGGGGGGGCACCTCTGGTTGCACCTGCTGCCTGTGAGCGTCCCAATAGCCGATGGCGCCATGGCGACTGGGTCAGCGATCAGCACCACCACGCTCCCATGGACGGTTCGACGGCAGCTCGCTCCTGGTCGGGCCAGGCATGATCTGCGAATCGATGACCCAACGCCAAGCAGCAAAATGTCATTGGCCTACGAGGTCCAACGAGCTCTGCCGCTCGCGGTGGCTGGGACATGCCTCTGGATATGGGATGCCTATGGCTGCCTTGGACTTGGAAAACAACAGGACAACTGGCAGCGCAACAGCCTGCGCCCCAATTGGGTCATAAACCCTTGTCCCTGGCCTGCTTCACCAAGTCCCGGTCGATCTGCCCCTCGGCCCAGTCGACGTCGACGGGCTGGGGATCGGCATTGGCGTTGACCTTGCGGCGCCGGTTGCCGGCAAACCTTCTGCCTCTTGGCTGCTGCTGCTGCTGCTGCTGCTGCTGCTGCTGCTGCCAGGATGACCGCGACATGTTCCCGCCGGCCCTCCGGCGCTTCTTCTGGCGGTCCTTCTGCAGCGAGGTCGCCCAGCATGTCTGGATCGCCCCAGTTCGGCTCTCGCTTAGGAGGAGCGCCTCCGCCGCCGTCGCCCGGGCAGCGAGCAGGAGCGCCGTCAGCGCCAGGCCCATACGCCGCCAACCCCGTCGGCAGGCTCCTCCACGACTGCGTCGGCTTCCTTCTTGGCTTCGTCGGCTGCCTCCTGGAGGACGGCGAAGATATCCTCGCAGGCCGCGTCGACCTCGGCGTCGCCTTGTACGCAATGCTGGGGTTTGCTGGCATCGACTGCCGCCTCGACCCCTTCCACACCTGCCCCTCCGAGCGCCGGTCGGTGCACCTTCTTGATGGTGGCCTCCGCCTCGGCGAACTGGCCATCGAGCCCCTTGAGATTAAGTCTCCCGCGTTCGGCGTGCTCCACGATATGGGGCGGCTGCTTCTCCAACTCGCCGAGCTTGCGGACACGCTTGCCCTGCTGCTGCTCGAGCTTGTGCTTCGCTGCCTGGAGTGAGCCTGCCTGGAGTGAGCTGCTTCCCCTCGCTCTTGGCGACCGGCTTCCCGAGCGCGACGGCGGTGTCCTCGCCAGCTTCGGCCCCCCCGACCTCGGCCTTGAGCTCGATGAAGGCCGTTTGCGCAGCAGCCGTCGCCTCGCGCTGGAGGTTTGGGAGAGCCCCCGTCTGAGCTCATGGCTGATGGTGCCCACGCTCCCTTCTGGTGGCATGATGTTCCATGGCGACTGAGCCCCGCGAGCTGGTGGTTCTTCCTCGCCGCGCGCTCGACCTGTGAGGAGCACTTGTCGTCGCCCTCGCGGCACTTGGGCATCGCAGCACCACGTACTCTGTGTCTGGCGGCGGCCCCCATCTTCTGGACATGGAGTGCCAAGGCAAGCCCTGGACTTGGAACAGTGGCGATCTAGCCGCGGACCAGCGGCATCCATGGAAACACCCGGAAAATTTGGCACTTTGAGCGAAAACGGCGACGGAAAGTAGCGTAGAGTTGAATAGAGTAGAATAGAGTAGAGTAGAGTAGAGTACATAGAGAAGAGTAGAAGAAGTTAGGGTGGGTTGGGTTGAGTAGGGTAGATTAGAATGGGGTGGAGTAGGGTAGAGTAGAGCAAAGCAGTCGAGGGCAGAAGATAGAATAGAGTGGGGCAGAATGGAGTCGAATATAATAGCGCCGAATGTAATAGAATAGAGCAGGGTAAATCATAATAGAGTAGAGTAGATTTGGGTAGAGTTAACTAGGGTAGCGTAGAATAGAGTGGACTATAGTAGGAGCAGGGTAGATTAGGTTAGCGTTCAGTAGAGCGTAGGGTGGGGTAGAGTGGGGTGGCGTAAATTTCAGTAGGATCGAGCGTGGTAGAGTGTAATAGAATATCGTAGAATAGTGGAGTCGAATAGAAGAGCTGGGGTAGATGCTTCTCTATGAAATCAACGCTGGCTGATATGCTGTAGATGCTTACTGGAAATATATCACTTGAGATAGATGACTATGCACGTGTATCACTCTTTGACAGGGATGAAAAGGGGGAGGGTACCAGCCTGGCTGGGATGGCGCGAATTCATATGAACACGAACGGCGAAGCAAACCCTATGCAACTTGCAATAGAACAACCAGAACGGTCAAATCCAGGCCGGGGAGGGTGGTCGAATATATTCTTCATGAGAGGTGAAAATTTACCTCATCGATGCAAGTCGCACTCGTCGCCTTCCATGCTCGCGCAAACATCACACACTCTTACACGCAACCCGTTGGATAAATGCATCTGGTCATGATTTCAACGAACGCCGAACGCACGGGCGCGCGAACCTCGACCGAGAAGAAACGTCTGTCCAAAAGTCGCGAAATAGTGTTGGCGACGGTGGCGGCCGCGGCACCAACGACGATGGAGATGACAGTGGTGAACACGCTGACGCCGATGGCGGTGACAATGAACATGGGGACGATACGACGCGAACATGACGATGACGATACTGATGAAGCTGGTGGTGGTGAGACTGACAGGGGCAAGGATGACGCTAGCGACGATGACGGTGATGATGATGCTGATGATGATGGTGATGATGATGACGATGGTGGTGATGATGATGGTGATGATGATACAATTATGATGACGGTGATGATGATGATGGTGGTGATGATGACAATGGTGGTGGTGGTAATACTGATAATGATGATGATGATGATGGTGGTGACGATGGGGCTGGTGATGATGATGATGACGATGATGGACAACGATGACGCTGATGATAATGATGCCGGCTGCACTGATGAAGGTGACAACGCCCGCTGAAATTCAAACATCCTGTTGTCGAACACGTATGTGCTGAAACTGTTAGTCAATGGTTTGGAGGAGTTTCGACGTGTGCGCTCGGAGACTCGCGCGTGTGGCCCGCATGGTGTTATTCGACAGAGTTGGTGGGTGCTTGCTGATGGTTGAACTTTTCGAAATGCGCGGGCGAGTGGCCCGCGTGGTCTCATTTGACAGCATAACCAAAAACAATCGGTTGTCTTACTGTTTCAGCTAGCGCGCGCGCTCGGTATTCTGGAATTTCGCGTCAAAACATCATTGGCCTTTGATAGCTTGCCAAAAGCTATGTTTGAACGCTCGTTTTTACACACAACATATGCATGTTGAATGATTGTGACACGCGCGCACGCTGCAACGCACGCATGTCCCCCTCCACGCATGACCACCATGGGTTCTTCATTGAAACAACAAACCTCGTGTATCAACGCGCGTACACCGCAAATTTTGTTGCAAGAGCTGGCTGCGGGGTCGACGCTGGCTTGGCTGGCATACTAAACTACTGCTACTCCTACTTCTATCCTTATTCCTTATTAGAATATACTCCTACTCCCCCCTCAGGCCGGCAGATAGGGGCCCCATCCGGGTGGTCCCATCCGAACCTGTAAAAAACAATACAAAATCAACATTTTTCTTATTTTTTCCTCTCGACATGGACGTCCTGTCGTCCACGGCGATAATCCATTGCAAAAAATACAACAAAGAGCACACGCGCGCGTTCATGTCAGAATCCTACCGAACACCGTGTGTTTGCAAGCATTTCAACATAAAAACATCAAAAACCCAATGCTTTTTCACAAAAATTCTACAAATTTCCTGCCCGGGCTCTCTTGCTGAAATCATAGGAAAACCATAGGAATCTTAAGAATTCGGTCAAATCCAGCGATTTCACGTCATCGCGCGGTGCACTCGCGATGCTCTGTCATGCACCCAGGCCGCGAATCCTGTGCAAAAAATACCACGCGGGCGACATGCGCGCGCGTCGCCGCGAGCGCATGCTCAAATCCTTCTAGAGTCGTCGCCGTCATTGGCACCGTCGCATGGACGTCCTGTCGTCCACGTCGCAAAATGCATGGCAGGAATGGGACGCGGCGCACACCCCGCGCCCGCACCCCGCGGGCAGGAATGCGTCTGCAAGTACTTGTCATAGCACTACTTTTTCTGTTACTACTACTACTACTACCACTACCACTACCAACACCACTACCACTGGTACTACTACTCCTGCCTCTTGGGGCCTCCTGGGCCCCCTTGGGGTGTCCTGTCAGACCGTCGGGCTTCCTCCGGCCACCTCTGGCTTCCTGCGGTGTACCGGGCCATTCTCGACTCGTCTGGCAATGCGTGCGCGGCATTCAACACGCGCTCGCCAGTTCCCGTCGGCAACCGCCATCGCGGCCGCATCAGCTGTACCAAACCGGCTGGCCGGTGTGACTTCGGCCCCCAGTTGTGCCAGCTTTGCTTCTTATGTTGTGGGAGGGCGGGTGGGACTGGGCATGCCATGCTTGACTCGCTCGAGCTGGCTAGCTTGACTCCTACTCCTACTCCTACTCCTACTACTACTACTACTACTACACTACTACTACTACTACTACTACTACTACTACTACTACTACTACTACTACTACTAACTACTACTACTACTACTACTACTACTACTACTACTACTACTAACTACTACTACTACTACTACTACTACTACTACTCTACTACTACTACTACTACTACTACTACCCCACCACCACCACCACCACACCACCACACCACCACCACCACCACCACCACACTACTACTACTACTACTACTACTACTATACTACCACTACTACTACTACTACTACTACTACTACTACTACTACTACTACTACTACTACTACTACTACTACTACTACTACTACTACTACTACTACTACTACTACTACTACTACTACTACTACTACTACTACTACTACGACTACTACCTATATAATGAGACATACAGCCGTGAACTATATATTATAGGTTTATGAAAAAGACCGAAATTGAATCTATAAACCAAAACAACTACGACCACTACAATTACTACTGCTACTACTACTACTACTACTACTACTACTACTACTACTACTACTACTACTACTACTACTACTACTACTACTACTACTACTACTACTACTACTACTACTACTACTACTACTACTACTACTACTACTACTACTACTACTACTACTACTACTACTACTACTACTACTACTACTACTACTACTACTACTACTACTAACTACTACTACTACTACTACTACTACTACTACTACTACTACTACTACTACTACTACTACTACTACTACTACTACTACTACTACTACTACTACTACTACTACTACTACTACTACTACTACTACTACTACTACTACTACTACTACTACTACTACTACTACTACTACTACTACTTCATCAACAACAACAACAACAACCACAACCACAACCACAACCACAACCACACCAACAACAACAACAACAACAACAGGAACAAACAAAAACCACAAACATCTACGCGGAGTGGGGGCGCTGAAGGATGAAGGAAGTATATTCTAATCTCTTTTAGAAGAAGGACTCTACGTTTAGGTCGGGCGTGTCCCCCTATAGGCGGATTTTGAACGAAAAACTAAAATACCCACACACCCACACACACACAAAAAAAAAAAAAAACACGGCCACAACTGATAGAAAAATCCTCCCCATACTATTCTTTGACTATTTGTTACTTCTTTCTCCTGTAGAGGGACAGGCCCGACTTAACCCTACGTGGCCGCAGCCCCAGCGCACGAAGCGGCCACGAGGGGGCCCGCCGGCGGCCACCGCGGCGAGGCCCTCGCGGACCCCGTCGGCGGACGGCGTGACCCACGAGGCGGTGACGGGCGGCCACGGGGCGAAGCTCGGGAAGACCCGGCCACCGAACGGGGCGCGGCGGGGGGAGGATGGGGCCATGCTGCTCCCCCATCGCACTTGAGGACCACGTCCCAGAGACGGTGCCGAGCGCCCAGACAGGTGCCGAAACAGCGCCGAACGAGCGTCGCCGCCCGGGGCCCGACACGTGCAGGCCTCTCCATTTCGGTACTCTCCTGGTGCTCGATGCTGTTTCTGATGAGCAAGGCTGAAGCAGCTTGGAACATCACAACTCTCGATGCCCTCGAGCATCGAGCGGGCCTCCTGGAAGGGAGCCTTCGTCGCCACGGCCGGCTCCGCCGCGAAGTCCTGGTCGGAGCGCGCCCCGGGAGCTGGAGAGGCGCTGGGCCCACGGGGCCACGAGGCGCAGTGGCACCGGCGGCACCTGGACTGCCAGCGAGCCGCCCCCAGCGGCCTCGAAACGGCACGCGGGCCCCCGGGAGTGGCTCCGAGATGGTCCCAAGACTGGTCCAGAGAGCCCCAAGGCGGCCACATGACTCAAACGTGCGGGCCGCAGAGAGCCTGCGCCCCAAGACCCCGCAGAGCATCCCAGGACTCACAAAAACGAGGGCCTCTGAGCTTGAGGTGGCTTCAAGAAAGCATCGGACGCTCCCTGAACGCCCACAAGACGATCTCCAAGGAGCCTCAAACGACCTCAAGGCGCTCCCTAGAGATCCCAACCCGAACTCAAGCGCAATATGCCCCAAGGCCACCCCCAGGCGGCCTCAAGGCGGCCCCAAGAACCCATCGGGCCAAACGCAGTGACACTCAGGACCTCTCCAAGAACAGAACCTGTCAAAAACAGTGGGAATCATGATTCCCCTGTTGAACACCATCCCAGAACGGCACCAAGGTCAAAAACATATAAATGCTTTCCGGAGTGGAAACCAAAGACATTTCCACATTTGCTTCGGCGTAAGCAAAAGGCCCAGTCCTGCTGCGCCATATGCATCCCAGAAAAACTATCATTGGTTTGTGTGTGAGAGCCTGCGTCGCCGCTGCGCGGCAGGCAAAATACAGACCACGTAGTGGCATCGCGCTCAACCAGACAACGCGTCGTCTCAAAGCCTGGATCTGCATTCTGCGTGGCATCGCGAAAACTTCAATCCGAGACATCGTCCATCGGCTGCTGCAGAGGACCATCCTGGAAGGGGCGACGATCGCCACCAGAGATTGACGTGCAGAGTTCCCGTGGACTTACGCACCCTCTTCGTTTATCCGATGCCCAGTGCGCACGGCCAGCAACAGGTGCTGAAGGCCGGTGCAGAGGCTCCCTGCGAGGTCCAGATTCCGGTGCGTGGGGAGGAAAGGACCAGAGAGCCGAACCCATCCGTACTCCGCAGGACGAAGACGACAAAGGGCTTCTCCGAGGCGAAGATATTCCCAGTATCAATGCCAAAATCTGAGCCCACAGGGCAGCGGATGGGGAGAGGAAGCAGGGGGTGAGCCAGGGCACACACACACACACACTGCTTGCGTCGGCGGCTAGGTAGAGCAACTGCGATGGCGGAGAGCCAACTGAACGGGGGTGCCGCTGTTGCGAAATATGCCACCATACAGGGACAAGGGGACAGGACAGACAAGGCACACACACACACACAAATCCTGTGCCGGTTCCCGCCACCAGACTGGATGTTCTGCGAAAGTCCGACCTGGCGGGGCCGCTCTTCGTCCACCTCGGACCGGCCTCGAGGCGCCACGCGCCCGCGGCGCCCGAACTCGGAGAGTTCGGCGAGGCTTAGGTTCTTAACTTGTGCTTGAGGCGTGAACGAATGCGATCGCTTCCCCAGCTGGTGTGGTCCTCCCCCTCCTCCTCCTCCTCCTCCTCCTCCTCCTCCTCCTCCTCCTCCTCCTCGCCCTCGTCCTCCTCCTCCTCCTCCTTCTCGTCTTCCTCCTCTTCCTCCTCCTCATCCTCCTCCTCCTCCTCATCCTCCTCCTCCATTCCTTTTCCTCATAAATAACTTCTCCCTGTCGCACCCCGAGGCCAGTTGTTAGGGCGGGCCGGGCGTTTTGCCTGAGACTTCCTCACCGTCGGCCCCGAAGCTTAAAAATTGACGACAGATTCACAGATGGAGGGCGGGTGGTTTTCAAAGTGTGGCTCTCGCCTTAGTGCCGCGCACATTCGTCTTAAACATTGCAAGAGTTTCTCGGATTGTGTGCGGGTGGCTTTCAAAATGTGTCGCTCGCCATAGCGCCGCGCAAATTCGTCCTAAAAATGTGCAAGAACTTCGCGGATTGAGGGCGGTTCATTTTCAAGATGTGGCTCTCGCCTGAGCGCTGCGCACATCTGCTGTTTCAAAATTACAAGAGTTTCACGAATTCCCATGATTAACATACAGAAATGGTGTTTGGGACGAATTCAGGATTATGAGGGTGCAATAGTTGCGCTGATTCGCTGTGTTGATATCCCAGGAACGGCGTTCCGGCACGATTCAGGATCGCCAAGATGCAACAGTCAGGTTGATCCGTGGCGTTGGAATCCCGAGAACAATGTTCTGGCATGCTTCAGGATCTTCAAACGGCTGTCTTCCAACGAAGCAGTTCTCTCAGTGGAAATGAAACGTTGTAGGGGCCGGCCTATGGAGAGGGAACTTGGAGGGAGGGTGTATTCCAACATCGTTGATGACTCTTGGGCTTACATTGTCGTCGTCGTCATCATCATCATCATCATCATCATCCTCCTCCTCCTCCTCCTCCTCCTCCTCCTCCTCCTCCTCCTCCTCTCTCTCCTCCTCCTCCTCCTCCTCTTCCACCTCCTCCTCCTCCTCCTCTCCTCCTCCTCCTCCTCCTCCTCCTCCTCCTCCTCCTCCTCCTCCTCCTCCTCCTCCTCCTTCGCCTCCTCCTCCTCCTCCTTCTCCCCCTCGAGGGTCTGGACTGTGCAGCCTAGCCTCTCCCCTCCTGCTGGTCGCCATCACCGGCCCCTCCCCGCCGGCTTCAACGCCGCTGATCTCGGAGCTGTAGTTCCAGGCGGGCTCGGCTCCAGGGGAGGCGCCCGCGGTGGAGAACCTCGCGGGCCGAG